TCACAGGTAATTTTCACCTCCATTTAACATAGTCCCACTGATTAGGTATTTGACCCATAATAAATCTGTTGCCTGCTGTGACATTAGGAGCTTCAAAGTTGTTAGCATCACAGGTAAATGTAAAATCTAATTCTGTTCAGATCTAAACATTTCTGAAGTACTGGGAGGAATTCAGGCTTGGAGTGAGTGGTCAGTAGACCTGCCTTAGGCTGTGTGGAAAGCAGGGTTTTAGAGAAACAGAAAAGGTGACATGTCTCATATCTGTTGGGAAACATTATTTGAAGAACAGAAAGGAGTGTGTCATACAAAATATGTCTGTTGAAAGTATGAACTGCACTTCAAGAACAGGAATGGTCATCTAGGGTCCAAACCAGCAATGTACATGACCACCAATGCTTTTGATACTTGGCAAACATACCACTGGAAAGCAAAACACCCTAAAATGCCCATTTCTAAAACTAGTCTCTGCTGTTGAAAGCTTCTTTTGTTCTGCACTTCAGCTCTTCACCTTTGACCCTGTCTGATGAAGTAACTGACTCAAATTTCTTTCTTCCAGTTGTCTTTATTATCTCCTTTCTCTGCATTATCTTATAATCTTTTAGTTTCCTAATAGTCTCCATTGTTCTGAGTATTTTACAGTCTTCAGTGTATTTATCCTCAGAAAATACATGCAAGTTTTACAACTGAAAAATTACAGAAATTAAGTTACTGGTACAAGTTCACAGAGGAGATCTGTGCTGCAGATTAAATTTCCCAGTTGGAAAATGCCTCTTATAGCACAGCAACCTGTTCCAGAACTTATGGTGTCACCACACAGAAGAAGGTGGATGGACCAACACTACATGGCTAAGGCAGGCTTTGAGAAGCATCTTTGTGAGCCATCAAATTTTTATTTATTGATCTCTCATGTGGGGAGAGGAACAAATAGTCAAAGGCAGATTGAAGATGCCTTACATTACAAACATGTATATTACTGAGTTTTCAGTGAAATTGTTGTTTTGAAGTGAGGATTGATGGTGAATTAGAGCCTTAAAAAGTGTGAGTGTGAGTAATTAATTGGTTTCTTTTCAGAACTGTTCTTTTCTAATGACCTATTAAAAGATTTTGTCAATAAACAATACACACAATGGTTTGAATCTTCTTGTGCTGAAACAAAACAGTAAAAAGAACAGCAACAGAACCAGGAGCAGTACTGTTTTAAATACATTTACAATGAAATAGGGAATGGATACTAGATTTTTATCTCCTGATAACACACATTTTTAATTGAAGCAACATAATTTTAAAAGCTTTGTGTAGCACAATAGCATACCTCATGAGTGCTGGGAAGAACAAGGCACAGCACAACAGCTTTAAAGAATTTGTGACAGAAGAGGTAAGGCGCTTTATTAATAAAAGATTAGACATAATTAATTGATAAATTAACAAAAGTATAATAAAATTATCATTAATTAAAATATTAAATATGGATAAATATTCTAAAAAGTCATTAGAGCTAGCAAGAAATACTACTCAGTTGTAGAGTATGTAGACAGTTAGCAACCAGCTCAACTATCAGCTAACAAAATAGCTGCTCCAGAGCTGAATTTATTCCAAGAATTACAGAACAAAGGACTAGTAAAGGAGTTCCAATTTAGAATCAAAATTTTCCATGAATTAGAAAGCTGTATTCTAGGATAGTATTTTAGGTTTCTACTAAAATTCTTTCAATATTTAAACAGATGTAAGTAAGATTGTGGAGTTTTAGTATGACTTACAGACTAACATGATCATTGCGGCATTGTAAGGTAGGACATGCCTCCAAAATGTTTCTTTTGGGTGATGTTTTAAATACAGATGTCACTTACTGACAAAAATTGACTACAATATGTAGCTGTATCTTTATAGACTGTACACTTATATATCCTTGAAAAAAATGTCATAAATTAAAAAAGTCATCGTGATGGTTCAAAGGTAAACCGACAGGAGAAATTAACCCAAATCAAAAAGAGATTATAAGTCAGAATTACAATTTAATAAAAATAATGCAATAAATACAATAATACAGATGAACAATTGGTTTTAACCTACAAAAAACAAGATGTATAACCCGACACCCTGGGGCGTGAACAGAATGGTGTGCGTTGGCCCCTGTGCTGAGCCACACGTGGGCCCTCTGAGTTCAAAACTAAAAGGAGAGGAAGAACATGTTGGTACGAGTGATGGTTGCAGTCCGGTTGAGAGCGGTGGTTGCAGTCTGGTCGAGAGTGGTGGTCTCAGTCCGGTCGAGGTTCTGGTCCTCCTCTGGATCCCACGAGTGGTACCAGAAGTCCCAAGACCCCAAGATTATATACACCCAGGTTCAGGTAGAAATGCCCAGCACCTCCCCCAGGGCGGGGAGTTCCACAATGGGTGATTGTGAGTTGTGGGTGTGAGGACAGGAAGATCCTCCTATCTCACAGGCCTCTGAACACCCAGTTTATAGCCTGAAGGGTCAGGTGTGCTCTGGGCAGCTACTGCAAATGGTCTATTGTTAACAGTTTCTGGGAAATGACATAGAGGGTTTAGAACACACAGTTTGGGTTACACCCACACAGTGATGAACTGATCCCGGCTGCCCTAACTAGGATAGTCATAAATGCTTTAGAGGTTTGTATGTTTCTGTCATAACTTAATTTATTCCTGGGAAAAAAAAAGATTTTTGACACAGTTTTTGAAATTACAACTACTTTTTGTAAAATAAAACTTTTTTTTAAAATATGTAAAAAATTGGAAGACACAAACACTGTTAGATAATAATATATGTACAGAAAGCATTGAAACACAAGACAATTTTTATTATAGTTCTTATACCATTTTAATGTGTATCCATCCATAAAACTTTACAATTTAAAGACTTTTCAGTTGCAAACCAGTTGTAAAGTCATATCTATAAATTATGTTTACCACAATTCTAATAACAATGCAAGCTCCAATGTTCACACAGGTAATCAGAAGGCTAGGCCATGGACTTTCAAGCAAGTTTATTTCAGGGTTGCTCACAGCTGCATGAACTCACAGTTGGGTGGCCAAAGGGGCACATCCCACAGGGGCCTCTTGGCCGTACCTATCAAAGGACACTTAGACATGTACAGCGGTGCTTTCTGAGCCATTCCCTTTCCTTCCTCTGTTTCCCTTCCCCCACTTATGGGAAAGGAATGCTTCTTTTTGCCTCTTCTCAGATAAGAGACTTGCCTGTTTAGTCTAGCTAAGAAGCAGGTCTAACGGAAAGAGAAAAGTGGTTGTTCTCATGCATTCTCTAAACATATATTTCTTTAGCCACAGCAGGTCTCTTGAGAAAAGAGAAATTTCTGAACCAGTTTACCTTCTCGTCCATTCTTGCGCAGAGTTTCTTCACCCCCGATACAGAGGCAAAGTAAAAAACTGAAAATAATGCTACTCAGATACCTATGTACACTGGATGAATTCATGCAGCTAGGCAGTGCAACAAATTAACTCTTAACTTATCACAAAATGGAACCACCATGTTGGCAAACAGAAGAAAAAATATTTTTGCAATAATTCATAGTGCATTTTGAACTTAGACTTTATAAAATGCTTGTTGAAGGATATACTTCTAAAATGCCCCATATAGTCTGAGATGCCTCAACTCTTCTGCTGCAAAATGAAATGAAAACAAGAAAAGCTAAAAAAAACACTGTAGTACAGAGTCTGATACACTGGTACCATATTGATTTTATTATTCTTGGTATCAGACTTGTTTGCAAGTGTCCATGTCCATAGGGACAAACACTACTCCTTGCTATCAAATCTTCCATGGTCCAATACTATCTTTATGCCATAGGTTTACTTGTTCTAAAAAAGCAAACAGGAAATTTTTCTTTCCCCTGCCCCTCTGCAAAAGAAAGGTGTTGAATGTGGGAGGGCGATTTTGCCTTGGGTGATAGATCTACACAAAAAACCTAATTGACAGGACTGCATTATAAGCTGATGCCCCTCTCTAAGGCTGTGAATGGGGGGGTAATGAGGGTTTTTTTCCCTCCTCTCCTTGGAAACAGGGGCACTTTTGCCTTAACTCAGGAAAGGTGGGTGTGTTGGAGAGGCTCTAAGGTCGTTTTGTTCTCGACCTGGTCATCTGGCTGTTTTTCTGTCCTCAGCTTGCCTGTGCCCTGTTCTGCCCCCAGCAGAAGACTTCCTGAGGTGCAGGTTGGTAGAAAACTTCTGTCTTCTTCAAGCTGACTTCCAGCCCAAAAATCTTAGCAGCCTCTGCAAAGCAGGATGTTAAACACTGCAGAGCTGCTTCTGTGTGGGCAACGAGGATGGCATCATCAGTAAAAAGCAGTTCGCGGACAAGATGTTTTGAAGTCTTAGTATGGGTCTTCAGTAGCCTTAGGTTGAATAGGCTTCCATCAGTATGATATCGGATGTAGATATCATTTTCTTCATCCAGATCTGCCGTGGCCCTTTGGAGCATCATGCTGAAAAAGATTGTGAATAAAGTTGGTGCAAGATCACAATCTTGTTTCACACCATTGGTTATTAGAAAGGGCACAGAAAGTGCATCGCCATATCTGACTTGGCCATGCTGATCCTCATGAAGCAAAATGATCATTTTGAGGAACTTGGGGGGACATCCTAATCCTTCCAAAATCTGCCACAGACCTTTTCTGCTCACAGTATCGAAAGCTTTGGTGAAATCAACAAAAATTACATAGAGTCCTTTGTTCTGTTCCCGACACTTCTCTTGCAGTTGTTTGAGAACAAATACCATGTCTGTGGTGCTCCTATTGGCTCAGGAACCACATTGGCTTTCAGGTAGAAGGTCTTCTGCGACAGTGGGTATTAATCTGTTCAAAAGTATTCTTGCAAGGATTTTTACCAGCAATGGAGAGCAAAGTAATACCTTGGTAATTTGAACAGTCTGATTCATCTCCTTTCTTCTTATACAGAGTGATGATGACTGTGTCACGAAGATCTGATGATAATTCACCTAGTTCCCAAGAACGCACCATGAACTCGAGAAATTTAGCATGGAGTGCTTGACCTCCATGCTTCCAGACTTCAGGTGGGATTCCATCAACCCCAGTTGCCTTGCTGGTTTTCATCTGCTGCATGGCCTTAAGAGTTTCTCTGATAATAGGGGCAATATCCAATTCATTGTTCACTGATTGTTATGTAATGTATTGAATTGTTGAACCTTGAACTACACAGTTGGTACTGAAAAGAGTCTGAAAATGTTCAGACCATTGATTCAGAATGGAAGTTTTATCTGTGAGAAGCATTTGACCATTTGCCCCGAGTAAAGGGCTTTGAATCTGGTGTGTAGGTCCATACACTGCTTTCAAGGTCTAAAAGAATCCTCTGCAATCACCTGAGTGTGCATAATTGAATCTTTTCTGCTAGATTGATCCACCACTTGTTTTGGATGTCTCAAAGTTTCTGTTGGAGCTTACTGTATGCAAGACAAAAGGCTACTTTTCTTACATAGCAAGATGACTGAGCAAGGTGTGCTTGGTGAGAAGTTCTCTTCTTTATCAACAATTCCTGGATCTCTTGATTGTTTTCATTGAACCAGTCCTTGTTTTCCTTGAAGAAGAACCCTAAAGATTCTTCAGAGGACTTGTCATGATTTTGCTGGTTCTTGGAAACTAAGCAGGAATTTTTCCCTTCCCCCTGCCACTGCGTGGAGGGTATGTTGAATGGGCAGTTAAGTAACACAAAAGAAGTTGCTGGTAAGGTCACATTCCTAGTTAATGGCCCTCAGAATCTTGCTTTTGGGGAAGGGTGAGGAGTTCCTTTTTACTTTTTTTTCCTCTCATCTCCTGGGAAACAGGGGGAAGGAGTTTCAGGTGGCTGCTGGAACTGGAACAAGGTCAGAGTAGTAGCTCAGAGTGGGTTTGTTATCAGTCTGGCTGTCAGCAGTGGATTCTGCTTGGATTATCATTGGAGAGGAACTGTTTCTTTCTTGGCAGATGTTCTTGTGCACATCAAAGGGAGAGGAAAAAACTATACCGCACGATTCGGCCATCAGAACAGAGAGAGTTGCCTTTGGGAAGGACTTTTTTTCCTTGTTTTCTTTTTCTCCCCCTCCTCTCTCTCCCCTTTCCCAGTGGGGGGGGAGGGTAACCCATTTTCAGTTTCACCAATACACCCAGGAGGGTGTCTCCCCATATGGCAATGACCAGTGATCCAACAGCACCCCCTGCCGACTGGCACAGGACACTATAAGCATCTCTGTTGATCCAACAGTACCCTCTATTGACTATGGTTGGAATTGCACCAAAGGGAGCCAACTGAACTGTTTACCTTTTTGTCTTTGTTTGTTTATTGGTTTGTTCTGAAGGGGATTATTTGTGGGTATAGGAGTATTGTTTGGTTGTTTTACTTGTTTTCTTTTGTTTTTTTCTGCCAATACACACATACCTTTTAATAAAGGGCTGTTATTTTTCCTTTTTCCACAATTTTTTTCCCCTCAATTGGAGTGTCTTCATTTTGGATTTACAATTGCTTAGAGGGAGGAGTTTGGGTCTTCCTCATAACTCATCCTCAGCAAAACAACTGTGTCTTATTTTAAACTGAGACAAGACTTCAGGATACTATTTTTAATATGTTGACAAAGCGCTTTGGAATGATCTTCAAGTCTAGCTTGAAGATTTACCTGGAAACTGTCTCTCACTGTAACTGTTTGAAGATTGTTAACTTGGAGTCTCCTCCTTGGAATACTGCACCTTTTAAGTTTGAATTTAAAGTGGAAGTTAAGTTTAAAGCACACAAGGGAATGATTTGTTTGACATTCTGCAGTAGGCATCACTTGGGTATGACGAACATCACGAATATCTCTCTGTCGCACCAAGACATAGTCGATGAGGTGTCAATGCTTGGATCGAGGATGCATCCAGGTTGTCTTCAAACTCTCTTTCTGCTGAAAGATAGTGTTAGTGATGGTGAGCTGCTGCTCCGCACAAAACTCTAGCAGAAGGCAACCATTGTCGTTGCAGTTTCCCACACCATGCTTACCTAAATATCCTTTCCAGGTTTCAGGGTTTTTTCCTACTCTGGCTTTGAAATCACCAAGGATAATGATCTTATCATCTGCTAGAACCTTTTGGGTAAGGCAGCGCAGGTCGTTGTAGAATGTTTTTTTTTTTTTTGGTAGGGTCTGTGTCATGGTTTTGCCCACCAACCAGCCCCTGGGGCTGAGGATGGTTTTGTCCAGGTGGATTTCCGGAGAAAAGGCCTATCAAAATTTTTAGTAACGCCTTTGCCAATTGCATATTTAGGAAAACAGAAGAGAAGGTTGTGGCACAGTTGAAATTAGTAGCAGTTGAAATTGGAAGCCATGTAGGAGAGGCAGCAGGCCCCAGGTGGGAACCAGGCCCCCTCCTCCCCTGTCCCTGGGCCGGGGGCAGGTGTGGCACTGAAATCCCCCTTCTCTCATGCAAGAGAGTAAAGGAAAAAAAAAACTTTAGAAGACTGACTACTTGGACAAAAACCGCTGCAGAAGAATTCCGGCAGAGAGATAATGAAGTGTTCAAGGCCAAAGCTGCAGCAAGAGAGAGAAGTATGAAGGGGGGCCTATTTCTTTCCCCTCTCTCTCTTGCTCTCTCTCTCTCCCTTCAGCAGGGAAAAGACTGAAAAATAAATCCCTGCTACCTTTGGAAGATTGTTGGAGTGAGGAGACTCCCATGCTGCTTGTGGAAGAGTCTACACTGGAGTAAGTTGATGCATGAGAAAGCCGAGACTTTATGAGAGACCTGAAGTGAGGCAGAGTCCTGTTGAAGATTTGTGACCCTGAGGAAAACCTAGGCTGGAGCGAGACGGCCCAGGTGGGATGTTAGGATCCATGAGTGGGATCCATGATGCTACTGGAAATTTGTGACCCTGAGAGAGACGAGATGCCAGAGCGAGAATGGCTCAGGTAAGATGTTGAGATGCAAGTGAAGGATCCATGCTAGACCCATGTCAGAGAGGTCTTTCAAGGACTGTTCTCCCATGGGGAGGGACCTCACAGGAAACAGGGGTGGACTCAAAAGCCATTACCCCCTGTGACTCTGTGGTGAAGATCCATGGTAGGCAAGTGTCCCCTTGTAGTCCATGGAAGAGAAGACCTTCAGGGCCTGGGTAACCCCCCAGCCTCCAGTCTTAACCCAGGAGGGGGGTAAGCCTAGCCTTGAAGCCGACAAAAAGAGATAGAGTTCCAGTTGCGACAAAAAAGAGTTACTTTCCTGAGATAACAGAAGAAGAGCTTTAGAGTGCTGCAGTTATTGAAAAGAACTGGAGCTTCGAGAATAGAGAAAAAAACTGCTTCTCCTCTGCTGGGGTCTTGGCAGTTTTAAAGGATTGTGCTGGGTTCTGAGAAGGCCAGGAGCTGACCGTTAGACAAACAAGAACAAGTTTGCAGCTGCAGGAATGCAGAGGTCAGCAGAAAGCAATGTGTGAGAAATGGTGATAACAGAAACTTTTCCCAGGAATGTGTACTTTAAGACTACCAATCGTTGGACTGTCTGAGGCGTGTGGACAGTGTGTGCTGACGAATCATAATAGCATGCTGTGCTCCTGGTCGCATGTCCAGGACTCAAAAGATTATATATTGTGTAGCCTTCTGATAATAAAACGGATTTGAATCTGCATCTCATAGATGTGTCGTTCTTTCCCGCTCGCGTGAAATGCCTGCAGCATATGATGACCCCGACGTGATCGGTTGGGGAGGGTCGAATTGCATCAAGCTGTAGAGCCTGCGAGGGTCCTGCTGTCAGCGGAATTTTAGCTGAGCGTCCGAAGAATGACAGATTCGTGCACGGTCTGACCCGGTGAGTCAGGGATAAGCAGGATGGAATTAACTGCTTTAGCAGTGGAACAGGCAGTTGTTCATAGCCTAATGAAATTGGCTGAAAAGACTAATGCTCAGCTGCCGTATTCGGTGCTGATAGATTTATTACGTTGGTGTCGCCGTGGCCTGGCTCAGGAGAGCAGAGCCGGAGCCGAGCTGGAGCCAGGACTGGGACCGGAGCCGCCTCAGATTGCGATAGAAACCACCCCGTTCTTCCCCCCCCCCCCCCCCCCCCCCCCCCCCCCCCCCCCATTCCCCCCGCGGTGTGTGCCGGAGACGGGCTGAGACAAAGGGGGATTGGGGGGGGGCGAGGCAAGATGGAGCGCTGTTAGAAGACACGGGAAGGCAGACAGGCAGACACTCGGAGCCTTCTCCCTCCTCCCCTTCCCCCCCCCTCGTGTTCTGCAAAGCACGGCAACTGTGAAATTCAGTAGAGCCCGCCCACAACATTCTTTGAACTTTTAACAATGTTAATGCAATTGAACAAGAGGCAAAGATATGTTTGCTTTGCAAGTTATGGTTTCCTCACAGCAATCACTCACGGATGCAAGACACGGGGTAAAGAATTTTACTCTAAGACTCCAAAACGAAGCTGCTGTAAGATTTTAAGAGAGCCTGGCTACCGTGATGGGAGCCTGGGTACCTTGAAAAGAGCACAGGGACTGTTAAAGAAGTTTGGATGGCTCAGTTGGTAAAGCGTGGGACTGTGAATCCCAGAGCCACAGGTTCAAGACCCGTGGGGGTACAATGGGTGGACCACCTACTGTCCCGAGGCAGAACCTTTGTTTTTTCCCCACGCAGACCCCTCTGAGAAATTGTCTGACTGCTCTCATCTGTTTCTGCCACGATAACAACTTAAACCTAACTGAACTATTAAGAGCAATGGTTTGTAAGCTTTTTTGTTAACAGCGCAAGTGGCTGAAAGAGGCAGATGGACAGAAACTGAGACCTGACTGCATTCCAAACATCGGAGATACTAACATCCAGAGAGCACGGAGACAGCACCGGCAGGGAGGACCGACACAGACTGGGACGCCTGCGCAGCACCATGCTGGGAGCAGACCGAGGGCAGAGCCGCTGTTGATGGACCTGCGGAGCTGGGGCACTGCAGGCTCCGAACCACCATCAGGGGCCACCGCCTGCGTTGAGGGTGTCTCGGGGGACCCAAGGCTCGGCACTCATAGTGTTGCAGTGTGACAAAACTGCTAAAACTGCAGCTGATTAAAAA